TTCTCCATCGATTTTCATTAAACTCTTCCCTTGGCTTCCAGCATACGGTAAACACTTTATTCAGATTAAAAAAAAATGAAAGGGAGGGGATAGAAATTAAAGGAAGGCAAGATTGTTTCTGGTCTTGAGGCAGAAAAAGGCAATTATTAGAACGGTCTTGAAGGTTGTCTGAGGCTGCCTGGTTATTGGGCTGTGACCTTACTCCTTCCCTTACAGCCTCTGATCCTAGACGCTCACCAGCCACAGCCCCTTGCCCAGCTCCAGCCCCCTCTAGGCCCCATCCTGGCCCCGGGTACCAACAGTGCGCTTACCTTCCCTTTAGCCACTCAGAATTCTGCTAGGACTGTTGCAAAATCCCCACTACTCAGGTTCTTTGGAGGCAATTCAGGGTTTTCCACAGCCACCTGAGGAGGTGGAGACCCAGGGCCAGGGCAGGTGGGAACAGGAAGGAAACACAGGTTCTCATACTGGGAACCACACACACACACACACTGCATTGCAGTGGCTTCAAGGTACCACCCCCATTTTGCAGAAGAGGAAACTGAGACTCAGATGAGTGACTTGTTCCGTACTCCCTTTTGGGTTTCTACTAAAGCCTGCAGTTCTCTGCCCTAAAAGCGACAGTCTAACTTCTCAGTCCAGTTGTCCAGAAAGCCTGCCCTGACCTGTCCAGGTAGACTGGATTATCCTAGATGCTCAGACAGAAGGGAATGCCTGCTGCCCCTTGGGCTGTGTGGTTCTGGTATGCCCAGACTCTCCCTGTGTCTTCCCCAAAGTGGGGGCCAGTGAGCAACGTGCCTCATCTGGGCTCAGCCAGCTCACTGAAACCAGAGCCTGGTACTGTAGGATAAACACTATGTGGTTCAATTGCTTAGCACAAAGCTTAAGTTCAAACCCACCAGTGGATCCATGGGAGAAATGACTTGGAGATCTGCTCCCATTAAGATTGTTGTTGTTGTTGTTAAGTGCCGTCAAGTTAGGTCTACCTCAGATAGCAATCCTGCATAGGGTTTACAAAGAGTGACTGGTGGATTTGAACCACCGATCCTGTGGTTAGCGGTCCAGTGCTTAGCCCACAGCGGCACACCAGGACTCTCCCACAAGGAATACAGCCTAGGAAAGCCTGGGACACAGTTCTACTGTGTCTCAAAGGGTTGCCATGAGTCAGAGTGAACTCCACAGCACCAGCAAGAGCTACAACTTGTTTCGTGCTGAGTGCCAAAGGAGCCCTGGTGGCACAATGGGTTAAGTGGTGGGTTGTAAACTGCAAGGTCAGTGGTTCAAATCCAGCAGCTGCTCCATGGGAGAAAGATGAGGCTGGCTGCCGCTCTAAAGATTCGCAGTCCTACTCTGTCCTACAGTGTTGCTGTAAGTCAGAATCAACCAGATGGCAGTGGATTTGGGCTTTTGGAGGTGGGTTACTGAATGCCAAGCACCATGAGCTATTTGACATCTATTATTCTCTGACAGTCTTAGGATGTACATATCTGACACCCAGTGAGGAAACTTCCTCTCTTAGAAGAGGAGCAGCTTTGGCTGGCTAATTAGTACAACCAGACTCACAGGTAGAGAAGCTTGGAGCCCAGCCCAATGGCCTTCCCACTGCCCTAGGCCGTAAGTGTGAATTTGCCCCGGGAATCGGTGATGGATGTAAGAAGTGAACAGTGAGCACGTAAAACAGGACGTGAACACTGACCCCCAGCAGGATGGAGCAGCTGCTGAGGAAATGTGAGTGAAGGAAACCAGGACCAAGCCTTTGACCACTTGAATCCTGAGCCTGACAAGGTCCAGGCACCACAAAGCAGGCTTCAGAAGAATGGAGGCCCCGGTGAGACCCCAAGCTCCGATGGGATCTGTGCATGATTTCATGAACCTCTTCAAAGTTGGAAAGAAATGAGGGGAAGCAGCAGAACAGAGATGAACCTCACTAAACCCAACACACTCTTCACTGGCAATTAACCAAAGGAGCCTCAGTGAGGAGGCCAAGCCAGGGAATCAGGAGGAGCTTGGACTCTGGCATTATCTAATGAGGCCATGACTGCCTGTGAACGGGGCGGCAAGCAGGAAGGAGTCCCGAGGGCCCTGCGATTCCACACCCGGCTTGCCTGTCATTCCGCAGTTTCTATATCCAGCCTGTCTCTGACCCTGGATGCTGAACATTGATCAATACTGACCTCACCAAAGTCCTGATGGTTGGCACCGAGCAGCAGGGATCACAGAGTGGGGATTGAAGTGGGTTGAGTCAGGTGAATGGCCGTGGGTGACCCTAGTGAGGGGAAGGTCTAGAACTTTTCACAGCTTTGGAAGAAGCTTGATATGGAGGGTAAGGATGTGGATTTATCGACCTCACAGTATTCGATTTTGAGTCCTGCATCTGCATGAGGGTTAACAGCCCAGGCTGGCTACGGCATCAGGTAGGCTGGAAGCAAATCACTACTGGATCATGTATGAGCTGGGTGCCCTGGAGTAAGTATCTCTTTCTTCTATTGTAAACAATGGAGGCAGTAACAGCTCCAATGGGATGTAGTTACAGTGAGGATTATGTGGCATAATAAAAGGAAAGGGATAGCCAAATACTTGCCCAAGCCAAGCATTCAATATATGTTAGTTAGTATCATTGTCCCACCACCCATCTGTCAGTTTGTCCTACTGTGACAGTAGACACAGTTGCTGTAATACTGAAAGTTATGACACCGGTGTTTTAACTACCAGCAGGAGCACCCATGGTAGACAAGTTTCAGCTGAGCTTCCAGAATAAGACAGACTAGGAAGAAAAAGAGGTCAATTATTTCTGAGTGTTTAGCCACTTCTTATGAGGAACAGTGTAACTTAGTCAAATATAGTACCAGAAAATGAAAACATTATCAATAGTAACAGAGTATTGTCTGGCATAGTGTGGGAAGATGGGCCCCTCAGGTTGGAAGGCACTCAAAAATGACTAGGGACGAGGTACCCCCTCAAAGTAGAGTTAACCAATATGACATGAATGGAGTAAAGCTTTCAGGACCTTCATTTGCTGATGGGGCACAACTCAAATTTAGGAGAAACAGCTGAGCACAAACATGAATAATTGGAACATGGAATGTATGAAGTATGAAACTAAGAAAACTGGAAGCTTTCAAAAATGACACGGAACACATAAAGATCAATATCCTCACTATTAGTGAGCTGGAAGGGATTGGTACTGATCATTTTGAATCTGACAATTATCTGGTTTATTATGCCTTTGTCTCTTCATCGGTGTCACTGGGATGCATATAAAGGCACTTCAAAAGCATTCAGTTTAGGTGATGTTTCTGATCACCTGGGAGCCTTTCTCAGACCAAGTTTCACTCCTCCTCAGAGTCTGGCACCAAGAAGATGTGTGATAGTTTAGGGTTTGGGTCAGCTTGATTGGGCCAGGTTACTCAGTGGTTTGGCAGTTGAGATGTGATTTAATGTGAGAAACTAATAGGATGATTAAGTATAAAATACCTTTATCTTAAGGAGCTCTGGTAGAATAGTGGTTATGAATTGGACTGCTAATCTCAAGGTAAGCAGTTCGAAATTACCAGTTGTTCCATGGGAGAAAGATGAGGTTTTCTGCTCCCATAAAGATTTACAGCCTCAGAAACCCTGTACAAGGTTGCAATGGGTCAGAACTGACTCCACAGAACATAATCATCACCACCACTTTATCTTGGTCCCTGGTGTGGCACTATAGGATAAGCACTGGGCTAATAACTACAAAGTCAGCAATTCAAACCCACTAATCGGGCTGCGAACCTTAAGGTCAGCAGTTTGAAGCTAACAGCTGTTCCACGGGAGAAAGATGAGGCTTTCTGCTCCCGTAAAGATTTACAGCCTCGAAACCCTGTATAGGGCTGCTATGGGTCGGAACCGACTCCACGGCACATAACCACTACCAGCTGCTCTTTAAAAATCTTGTACAGGGCTGCTATGAGTTCTTACTATTTAATCCCACTACCACCCTGATTTAATTTAGGGAGATTGCCAAGGGTATGGCATGTAACACCTTTATCTTTCAAGAAATAAAAGGAGAGAGACTGAGCAGAAAGCGGGACCGACTACCACCAAGAGAAAAAAGCCAGGAGTGGAGTATGTCGTTTGGACCTGGAGTTCCTGCATTGTGAAGCTCTGAGATCCTGGAGAAGATGAATTCCAAGGTATATGGAGATTCTAAGGAAAACGAGCCCTACAGATGAAGAAAGGAAACATGGACCTTCCCCCAGAGCTGACACACAGAAAGCTTTCCCCAACAGCTAGTACCCTGAATCTGGACGTAAAGTGAGATAATACACTTCTGGTTATTAGAGCCATTCACTGTGGTAGTGCTGTTAAGTAGCACTAGATACTTAAGACAGGTGTTTCATGAGAGTCTGTGTATTGAATGCAATCAGATCTGGAAGGAGAGACTGGAATTAGATAGGGCTTGACCTGAGGCACTAACTCCAATCAGACCACTACATTCCTTATGTAACCCAAATCCACCCATCCCCATGCCACATTGAGGCCAGACTCTTAGATGTGGGCTTCCATTTCCCTTATCTAAGTCCTCTAGTTCTTAGTTGAGAAGGAGGCCCTCCTTGGCTTCCCTGGGCATCCAATTCCCACCCTATTCCTGCCTGGTCTATCTCCCAAAGGAGCGGGATCTCTTCCTTCTATTGGAGTCCTGCCACACCCCACCGGACTTGCGTGTCTTCTGTTGTGTTCCACCCACTGGACACCCTGACTTACCTATCTCTGCTGGTCACCCCATCCAGGAAGGACTGAGTGCCCCTTTGGGTCCTGCCTCTCCTGTTCCAGCTTCTTAGAGCCCTTCACCTCTTCACCAGCTCACACCATCAGGGTCCCAGCAGCCCCCTCTAAGACTGATGACTGGGGAAAGGAGGCACTTGGGGGACTTGCTCAATGTGCCCAGATGGCCTCAATGTGGTCTTCTCCTACTTGCTATCCTAATTCAGGACCCCCAGCCCCTGCCCATACTGCTGTATCATTACCTTCTCCAGCTGGTGGACACCCTCTTCCACGCAGCAGATGGAGGCCAGTGTGCGGAGCGCCTGGGGGTACAAGCATCGGAAACTGTCCTGCCGGCAAACCTTGAAGAGTGCTACAACTCCACCCTCCTGCCAAGAAAAAGAAACTTGACACTTAACAGAGCCAAGAATAATCAGCATCACCTACTCAGCTGACACGCTTGGTACTCTGCCTTTCAATACATACAGTACACATCTACACGCATGCTTACATGATCATATGCTTCCATGCATGCTGTAGTAAAATGCTTGCTCCATAAGTTTTATTACCCTTTATAGTCCCAGCTGGGGATATTCTTCCCCAAATGCTTCTGGGGCTTAGTGGCCAGGGGCCAAGGTAGACCTATTTACTAGGGCCAGGGGTCAACAGCATCCAACAGAACACATAGTCACCATAGCAACTCCCTCTCAGCAGTCAAGTGTGGTGCAAGTCTGGAGTCATAGGAAACAAACAGGGAAACAGGGCACTGAAGACAAATGCCCAGTGCTGGCTCTCACCTGCCCCAAGAACCACACACTCATGAGAACCACCCAATCACCAAGTGAGACTGACAACAAGGAATTTGGTTTATATCAGTACTGTGTTTGGTGTGGCACTGTGGGTTAATGCACCAGACTGCAAAGCTGTTTGAACTGCAAGGTCGGTGTTTCAAGCTCACCAGCCGTTCCTTGAAAACCCTATACAGGGTCGCTATGGGTCAGAATTGACTCAGTGGCACTTAACAGAAACAACAACAACATCATATAGGAAATGGAAACCGAGATGGCTGGAAAAATTTACCCTTTATCCACATCACCTTTGTTTTCATTCCTTGGTGGTGGTGGTGTGCTTTGGAGTCAGTGTGACTCACAGCAGCCCTGTATTGGTTTTCCAAGGCTGTAAATCTTTACAGGAACAGAAAGCCTTATCTTTCTTCCACGAAACAGCTAGTAGTTTTGAACTGCTGACCTGGAGGTTAGCAGCCAGACTTGTAACCACTAGATTACCACAGCTCCTTGACTCCCATGTTAAAAACAACCTTTAGGAATGATCAGCCCAGCTCCTAAGTGGAAATGGGAACTGGTTCTTTTGCAAGAGTTGGAAACACCTGTTTCTTGTGGAGACTGCCCTACCAGAATCAGAGTGAGGAGCTTAGGCTCCAGGTATCTGCTAATGACACAAATTAATTCTATATAACCCCTGGAGCCACTGAGGAGCAAACTGAGGTTGGGGAGCAAATTGAGGAACAGATCACAAAGGTTATTCACAGTGGTGCCCAGAAAACTTCTGGCAATAGTAGCTTTAGCATCCTGAGAGGGAGAAGTTGGGAATATCCCATCTGGTTTGCCTTGTTTTCCCCTTTGCCCTCTTCCCTTAAGGGCTGGCAGGGTGCCCAAAAGTGGCAGAAATAAAGCTCACTAAAGTAACTAGTTCCATGTTGTCTTCTGAATCCGGTTTGAACCTCTGGCAATTCCCTGTCATGGTACTGTTACAGCCATTTTAAAATTATCTTCAGCAAAACTTTAACATTTTTGATGATATTACAGATGATTTCCACATTCTATTGGGTCATCTCTCTTTGGAATGGACATAAATATGGATCTCTTCTAATTAGTTGTCCAGGTAGCTATCTAAATTTCTTGGCTATCTAAATTTCTTAGATGAGTGAGCGCCTCCAGTGCGGCATCAATTTGTTGAAAGATTTCTTTTTGCATCCCATCAATTCCTGGAGCAGTGTTCTTTGTCAATGCCTTCAGTGTACCTTGGACTTCTTCCTTCAGTACTATTAGTTATTGGCTCCTGAACATACGCTAAGTCTTGAAATGGTTGAACATTGACCATTTCTTTTTGAAATAGTGAGTCTGTGTATTCCTTCCATCTCTTTTTTGTTTTTTGGTTGTTTTTTTTTCAAGTTTTTATTGTGAATTGAGTGAAAATTTACAGGGCAGAGCATCAGTTTTACATTTAAAAAAATGATATACTTTGTTTCATTACAATGATTATAATCCCCTCCATGTGCCATCAGTTAACAGTATCTCTCTTTATTCACTTTAGCTCTTTTGTTAAAAAAAAAACAACAACAGAAAACATTCAGACATATATAATGATTTACACCACCAAAGGGCATATTCTGCAAGTCTGCCTCCTGGCCACCAGCTCTTAGTCCCTCTCTTTCCATGAATCTAGAGTCCTCACCTGCTCCCTCTCTCCATGTCCCCATCTCTGCCTCCATCTCTGGTGTTGCTGCTTCTCTGGATAAGGTCCTGCATTCCACTTGTGCTCTTCTCCCTTGATGATCCTAGGGTCCTCTGTTTCTGAACTATAAGATTAACTACTCCCCTGTTTTTGTTACAATTTCTACCTTTACAAATGTGACGGTAGTAATTAGTCATGATAACAATTTCTCACTATTGAATCATAAGAATCTTATCACCATCTCCTTCTTTGTTTTTGTTTTTTTTTAAGGTTTTATTGTGGATTGAGTGAAAGTTTACAGGGCATATCATCAGTTTTACATTCAACAAATCATATAGCTTGTTTCATTACATTGATTATAATCCCTTCCATGTACCATCAGTTAACAGTATTTCTCTCTAACCACTTTAGCTTTTTTAAAAAACAAACAAACAAACAAAAAACCACTCAGGCATATATAATAAATTACATCTCCAAGGGGCACATTCTGCAAGTCAGCTCCCGGCCACCAGCTCTTAGTCCTTCTCTTCTTAGTTGATGAATCTAGAGTCCTCAGCTACTCCCCCTCTCCATGCCCCCATCTCTGGCGCTGCTGCTTCTCTGGATAAGGTCCCGCATTCTGCTTGTGCATTCCTCTCTTGATGGTGCTAGGGTCCTCTGTTTCTGGACTGTAAGATTAACCACTCCCCTTTTTTTGTTACAAAACTTCTACCTTTACAATTGTGACAGTCACGATTAGTCATGATAACAGTTATTCACTATTGAATCTTACGAATCTTATCCCCATCTCTTTTCACCAGACCCATCCAGACAAGATGACAGCCATCCAGTGGGGACTGTTTCTTTCCCCCCATACTCTTAAACTAAACTCCCTCTTGAAACCTTGTAAGCCAGTCACTTTGAGCCTCTATTGTCCCTGCATTTTAGGTAGCCAATGTCTAAGTTGCCCGTCCCTATCTACCCTGTGTACAGAGAGAATAGTATTGATACTTGATTTGAAGACTCTTTCCCTCTTTGGTATTTAGAGTAACTACCGTTCTGAGTATAGGTCAGGTTCATCATGAAGATGTATCTTCTGTCACTGTAGCTGTTCCAGTCTGCTTGTCCTTTCTAGTGGGAATGTCTCACCTCACAAAGTTATGGATGGGACTCAGGATTCTACCTAAAGTCCTATACTCTGTAAAGGCATTGCATGAGGTCTATTTCACTGGGCAAGTTGTAGAACCCCTTTTAGGTATTCCAATCAGTTATAGGCTGAAGGCGGGCTTACAAGTTTTCTCTAATCATGTTTCCCAACATTCCTTTCTATCCCACTCAAGTGTCTATTTTACAATAGTAGGCAAGGGAAACTAATATTCATAAGGCAGTCAAGGATTTTAGTATTATTTACCCTCTTCAAGCTATACGTAGATCCCTCTATCCCAGAGCTCTGTTGTTCCAAGATTGAGTATGCATCACTGATTACCTCTGTCCCACTAGGCCTTTGCAAACCTGTCTCAGTGTTCCCCTATCTATCTTGTTCTTCTGCCTCCTCCCCCTTCTTGTATTGCCCTCCCCGACACCCAAAGTAAACCCCCCACCCCAACCCCACTGTGGTTACCTTATATTCCATTAGTTCTTCCCTCCATTTAAAACAGTCTAGTTTATCCAGTAATCTACCTGAACTTCCCACCACCTGGATCTCTGTTCCTCTGTGTTTCCCTTTTGTCACATTGTAATTTTACCTCATAATTTCTTCTATTTGCCTTAGCATATCTACACTGGAAAGCAAATTTCAGAGTCTGTTCTGACATCCATTTTGGTCTTTTCTTTCTTTCTTGTCTTCTTAATATCCTTTTGTTTCTTTCCTGTTCTTGATATCATCCCATAACTCTCTGGTCTCATCATACTTCAAATCTGTTCTTAAGATCATCTCTAAATTCAGGTGAGATATGTTCATGGTCATATATATATTGGTTCTCAGGGACTTGCTTTAATTTTCTTCAGCTTCAGCTTCAGCCTGAACTTGCATATGAACAATTAGTGGTCCGTTCCCACAGTCTTCCCCTGGCCTTATTTTGAATGATGATACGGAGCTTTTCCACTTTCTCTGCCCATAGATGTAGTCATTTTTATTTCTATGCATCCCATCTAGTGAGGTTCATGTGTATAATAGTCTTTTATGTTGTTTAAAAATGAATAAGTCAGTGGTCTTGCAAATGAATAAGTCAGTGATCTGGCAAAATTCTATCATGTGGTCTCCAGCATCATTTCTATCACCAAGCCCATATTTTCCAACTACTGATCCTTCCTCATTGTTTAGACAGACAGAAAGATATAGCTAGATATTTATATAGATTGTGATACATTTGATGATATAAATATAGGTTTAAGTATAGCTAGAGATACAGACATTTACAACAGGAGCAGATGAGGAAGAAATGGGGCCAAAGAACTTGAGGCTGAGAGCCAGGACTCTTGTGCCCTCTGGCCTGGGAGGCACTGAGCCCAGCACAACTATATTTAAGCCTCCGTGTGCATTTGCAATGGATTTTCATTATATCCTTTCCCAAGTTTGTGAAAATGGCCTTCTTAGCATTTTTATCTAGTAGGAAGGGGAATACCCTGAACCCAAACTAAGCAGATTCTGGTCCAAATTCTGACTCAGCTGCTGATTAATTTTGGCTACAATGGGGTAGGAATGGCACACCCCAGATTTATTCAGAGCATTATTGTGTTATTATCTGCAAGGTTTATCCTCCAATTGTAGGCAAAAAAAGTGAGGGTGAGGATATTGAAGATTTCCTGATTAGAAGAGTGTTTCATGCCTTTAAGGAAAGTGTCCCCGGGGCTGAGATATGTGGGAGGGGAGAGAGGAAGGAAGGAAGGCAAAGTGGAAGTGAGGACCCCATAGACCACTGTGGGGTCCCCCTTC